TAACAACACAATCATCATCATCACCATAATTATAACTATCACCATTATCATAATCATCATCATTATTCTTATTCTCATTCTTCGTCTACTGACTCATGGCAAAATGAATATACACAGCAAATACCGGTTACTCATGTTTTCACCCACATAATATTAGCGAACAAGGAAATATCCGTCCCTCGAGGCTCTGGGTGACGATCTTATAAACAAATAGTTTAACTTCTCTTCTCCCATTATTTATCCTTTCCTTCTTCTCTCATTCTCCTCCTTCTTCTTCACCGTCTCCTTCTCCGTCTCCTTCATTTCCTTCTCCTTCATCATCTCCTTTTCCTTCTTCCCCTCTTTCTCCTCCGTCTCCTCTTTCTTCTCCTCCACCATCTCGCCCTCCTTCTTCATCTCCCCCCCCCACCTTCTCCTTTTCCTTCTTCCCCTCTTTCTCCTCCGTCTCTCCTCTTTTTCTCCTCCACCATCTCGCCCTCCTTCTTCATCTCCCCCCTCACCTTCTCCTTCTTCATCTCCTTCCCCACCTTCTCCTTCTTCATCACCTTTTCCTTCTTCCCTCTTCTCCTTGTCTTGTCTCTTCTCCGCCTCCTCCACACAACCACCACATGTGGGTCACTTTTTAAAAACAAACATCAAAGAACAAATAAGGAAATCAGTGTCACCGAAGCCTCGCGCGCGATCTGATAAACTGCCTCGCGAACTCCAGTCGGGAAATCGGAGGATCTGATTGACCTTCGAAAGCGAAGACAGGGCAGTCAAGGCAACGCTAGTAAAATCGTCAAGACCACTTTTTATTCGTCTCCCACGGTGAAAATGATGTCTGGTCACGACCTGTGATCCTCCACGACTACTATGACTCTTACGAAATGATACGACTCGCTGTGACGACCAGGACTCTCCGCGCCGACCAAGAATCTTTGGGGCCACGATGACTCTCCTGGCGACAACAACGTTCCTCCGTGACACTATGACACCATGGCGACAATGGCTTTCCGTGACAACCATGAATTCCTTGATGACTATATTTATCTCTCTGACGACTATGGTTCATCATGACGGTTATGGCTCTCCGTGACGACTATGGCTGTCCGTGATGAATATAACTCTTCAAGACGACCATTGCTCTCGGTGAAACTATGATTCTGAGTGTCGCCTGTGACTCCGTGACGCCAATGACTCTCCATTATAATTTTGGTTCAACTGTCCTGTCCCTGGCGTGCGTCATCGTGGAATGACTCGTTTCCCTGTTCGCATATATTTTACAACTCTTCCTGAAAATGCAACGGAATAACCGACAAGTAATCAGGTAGGGAGGGGGTAGAGGGAGGGGATTGCAAGAACACTAAAGCAAGCGTGGGGAACGGGGGATGGAGGACGAAGGGAAATAGAGGAGGGAGAGGGAAAACAGGGAGGAGGAGGAAAAAACAAAGAAATACAAGAAATAGAAATAAGATGGTAGAAATAAGAGAAGGAAGAGAAAAGGAAGAGCGATAATGATAATGATAATGAGGAGAGGGGAAAAGGAAAAAGTGGGCAAGTGAGGGGGAAGGGCGGGAGAGAGGGAGGGGCAATCCCCCATGTGCCGCACCCCGCCACCTCCACCCATAGCGGCCGCTGCTGATGACGATGACCTGTCGGCTGGACTGCCTCGCCACCTGCCATGCCGCATCAATCTACCCGAGTCGATAACTGGCTGACTCATCACCCTATACATGCACCGCCTCTCCGTCCTCTTCCCCCTTCTACCCCCCTACCCCCCCCTTCCCCCTTTCTACAACCCCACCCCATCCCCCTTCCCCTTCTACCAACCCCTTAACCCCATCCCCTTCCCCCTTCCCTTCCACCCCCCTACCCATCCCCCCATCCCCCTTCTACCAACCCTACCCCCATCTCCTTCCCCTTCCCCTTCACCTACCCTCTCAACTCTCTACCTCCGCCCTTGCATACAGTCAAGGACATCCTATGCATGTTCAAACGGGGGAAAAAAACTCACCCCCCGACTCCGATTTCAACCGGAAGGATTAAACACGATGCAACATTCATGCACACAGACGACAATGGCACAAGAGGAGATGACAATAATAAACAAAAATCCGAGGTAGACGCCGCCACCAACAACAACAAGACCGCGCGTCACGGGGCAAAATAACCCGAAGCTCATCGCCAATTAACACCTGGTCTCGCCGCGCCCCCTGATTCGTATCCGATAGAGAAAACCTGTAAAGAGAGAGAAAAAAAAGAAAAAAGAAAAAAAGGAAGAAGAAAAAACCCGCTCTACCCCATCGCCCCTCTTATTGGGTAAAACTACTTTCTAGCTAGTTAACAGAACTCGCCCCCTACTAGTTCAATCGAGAATCTAACCGTCTGCTTGTTTGAAGGTCTGTAGGCGGAGGGAGAAAGCATATAGGTGGGGGAAAGTAGGAGGAGGGTGGAGGAAGAAGGAGGAAGAAGGAGGAAAGAAGTAGGAGGGAGGGAGGAAGAAAGTGGAAGGTAGGAGGGAGGGTGGAGGAAGAAAGTGGAAGGTAGGAGGGAGGGTGGAGGAAGAAAGTGAAGGTAGGAAGGGGGTGGAGAAGAAAGTGGAAGGTAGGAGGGAGGGTGGAGGAAGAAAGTGGAAGGTAGGAGGGGGGTGGAGGAAGAAAGTGGAAGGTAGGAGGGAGGGTGAGGAAGAAAGTGGAAGGTAGGAGGGAGGGTGGAGGAAGAAAGTGGAAGGTAGGTAGTGGAAGGTAGGAGGGAGGGTGGATGGTAGGACGGAGGGGGAAGGAAGAAGGGGGGGGTAGGAAGGAGGAAGGGAAAAAATGGGGGAGGGGAGAAGCGAGGGAAAGAAGAAAGGAGGATGGGATGAAAATATGAAGAAAAAGAAAGTATGACATACAAAAAAGGGTAAAAAGGAGGGCTGAAAGAGAAGGGCAGAGAGAGAAAGGGGGGCCACAGCAACAGATGAATACCTTGCATACAAATAACTGGAATGGCCGTATGCATAGAAGGAACAGAACAGAATAACCCACGAGCGAAGGATGGGAGTAGATGGGACCAAAGCAGTGACGAAAAAAGGGAAAGAGAAAAAGGGGAAGTGAAAGAAAAAAAAACTGGGGGAAATAGAAGAAAACGGAAAAAAATGTGGAAATGAAAGAAACAAGAAAAAAGGGGAAATGAAATAAAGAAAAAAAAACGGGCAAACGAAAAAATGAAAGAAAACCAAAACAAAACAGGGAAATGAAAGAAAAACAACTAAAGCACAGGGAAATGACAAAACAGAACAAAACGGGGAAATGAAAGAAAAACCAACAAAACGGAGAAACGAAAGAAAGGAAAACCAACAAAACGGAAGAAAAGAAAGAAAACAACAATAAAACAACGAAATGAAAGAAAGATAAAAAAGAGGAACCGGGCGGCGGAGACCGAACACAGCCAGAAGAGACTGGATGTTGTCAAATGGCCGCCGTCTTCTCCGAATGGATGACCCGAGTGCCGCGCCAGACTTCTTCTGTTTATAGGTAAGACCCGAGCCCCAGACAGACATGCTTGAAGGGGCCGCTTTGCCCGCCTGCCTTCTCCTCCTCGATCCTGTTCCCTTTCATTTTTCTGTCTCTCCCCCCCCCTTATTCCGGTGTCCCTTCTCTCTTTTTCTCCCTTATTTTTTATTTCCCTTTTCTCTTTCTCTCTTTTAGTCCTACTTCCCTTTTTCTCATATTTCCCTTTCCCTTTCTCTATTAAGGCCGTGTCACACTAGCACTTTTTCCGTCAATTTTTTGACAATTTTATTTAAAATATATACAAACATTCTCGAATATAGCTCTTGATCTGACTATGCTTGGCTGAAAAAGTTGACGGAAAGGTTTTCAAACGGAAACGATCATTATCGTCTGACTGGAGAATCGACAATTCGCTCAAAAATGGACAAAATTTCAGAAAATTGTCAAAAAATTGACGGAAAAAGTGCTTGTGTGACGGCACCTTTACTCGTATTTCCCTTTCTCTTTTCCCTCTTTTCTTCCTACTTTTGTTTTTCTCTTTCTTTTATTCCTATTTCCCTTTCCCGATCTCTTTCACTTTTAATCATAATCCCTTCTCTTTCTCTCCTTTACTCCGTATCTTCCTTTGCTTTCTGTCTTATATGGCAACTTCTTCATCGTCCCGAACCTTCTTCTCAATCATTCATATTTCTCTTACATCCTAATTTTATTCCTATTACTCCTATCTTTCTCGTATTCCCCATTCTCCTTCTCATTCTCTATCTTCTACCCCACCTCCATCCTCCTTCTGTACCTTCTTCCCTAATCCTCATCTCAAATTTCCACCGTTTTCTCAATCTTTCTCCTTCCTCATTTTCCTCACTCACCATTTCTTTCTCCACCCCTTCTTTCTCTCTCTAATCCCCATCATCATCATCTACAACCCTACAAAAAAACATCGGCATCAACGAACACGTGCGGTCAGTCAGACAAATGAACATACATCGCAGAACAGATAAAATGGCAAAAAATAACCATAAAAAAAACGCAAAAAATAAAGGAAATTTTCTGCATAGTTCGTCGACGCAGATGTACTAGAGCATTACAAGGGGCGCTGGGGGAGATGACAGGTCAGAAAGATGAAGGGAGGAAGCGGTCGGGGGCGGGAGGGGGTATGGAGGGGAAAGAAAAAAAAGGAGGGGGAAGGATGGGTATGGAGGGGGAAAAAGAAAAGTAGGAGGAAGGAGGGGTATGGAGGGAGGAGAAGAAGCGAGGGGGAAAAGAGGAAGAGGAGGGGTGGAGGAGGAAGAAGAAAGAAAACAATATGGCGTGGAGGAGGAGGCTAAGGATTAGGATAAAGATGAAAATGAGGAGGTGGAAGAGGAGGGAAAAGGATAAGGAAAAAGAGGAAAAGTAGCAGCAAAAGAAGAGAAAGAAGAAAGAAGAAGAAAAGGAGAAGAAAAAACGCGCAGACGGGCGAGCGGACCCAGGTAGCGGCTCGGCGGAGCAGCAGCGGCGGCAGCGGCGGCGGCGGCCGGGCGGACCGATCGACGTTGGCCGACGAAACTCACCTGTATTGAAGAAGTCGTCAGGTGTGCGGCCGGCGGCCATGAGCCACTTGAGCCAGTCGATGGTGTCCCAGTTCTTGATGCGCATGGCCGGGTTGAGTAGTAGGTCCAGTAGCTCCGGCAGCACCTGTTGAGGAAGGACCGAGTGTCATTGGGGGTCGTGGGGAGCCATGAGACATCAATAGTGAAAACCGGTTGCATCATCATGACCAAAACTAATGATCTGATACGAACACGCCGCCGTAATGATTATCAATATCAGTTTATTTCCCAATCCTTTTTGTGGTCATTCTCTAAATTACGAAAAACAACTACTGATAATGATAAAGAATTTAAAAAATCATAATATTCACCAACAAATAAACATACAGTAGACACATACACATACATAGTTAATATAGGCTACACATAAAACAAACCGATTTACATAGGTATGTACATCAGGCACATTTTATATTCTTAGATCGTAGCGCGTCAGACCATATATCACGAAAACATAGGGTCGATAAAACAGAACACGACCATGAAAGGATCGATGTTAATGACTAAAAAATTGAGGAGGGGCGAAGGGGGAGGGAGACGGAGGGGATTGAATGAGGAGAGGAGGGAGTGAGATGGGGAGTGAGATGGGGAGGAGAGGAGGGAGTGAGATGGGGAGAGAGGAGGGAGGAGGGAGGGAGGGGAGGAGAGGAGGGAGTGAGATGGTGAGGAGAGGAGGGAGTGAGATGGAGAGGAGAGGAGGGAGTGACATGGGGAGGAGAGGAGGGAGTGAGATAGGGAGGATATAAGGGAGTCAGATGGGGAGGAGGATGAAAAGGAGACGGATTTTTTAAAGAGGATAAGAAGGGTAAGGGGTAAAGGAGATGTGGAGGGGGGGAGGGAGGACAGGGGCCGTTACCAAGACGTCGCATTAATTCCAAGAACCAAGATAAGAAAAATGAGGAGGACGCTGTTGCCAAATCCGTATGAATGAATCACCATAAAACTGCTCAAAGTATCCTTTTCTCAGAGATAAAAAAAGAACTAAAAGAAAGAAGGAAAAGAAAAGAAAAGAAAAGAAAAACAATACAAGTAACTGCCAATAGAACCATTCCTCTTTTCCGTTCAATTTTTCTTCATCTATTTATACCCTTTCACTGACAATTATTTTTTTTAATTTCCTGAATAATCTCGTGAAAGGGTTGAAGATCTGGAGAGAAAAGTATAAGTGGAAGAGACAGAAGAGGAGAGGAGGAGGAGGAGGAGGAGGAGGAGGAGGAGGAGGAGGAGGAGGAGGATGAGATGAAGAAGGGGAGGGTGGGAGGGTGGTGGTGGGTGTGGGAGAAGGCACAGTGTAAGGGAAAGAAGAGGGAAATGGTAATAAAGCAGAAGGAAAGAGAAGGGAAATAGAAGGGAGAGAAAGAGGGGATGTGTCACGTACGTTTTCATAGCAAACCATAAGAAACCAGTCAGACAAGGATAAAAAAAATATATATATTCGCATCCCAGAACAGTAAATAATTTTTCTTCCTTTTCAATGGTAGCATATGCTGATACTTAAGACTTTAGCTTCTAGGGAATAAGCCAAAATCGTAAAAAAAAAAATACTACCGCGAGCCAATGGCCGACTCCCCATGACAGTTGCGATACGTTCACAGGAAAATTTGAATAAATATTCCTGGTATTTAGAAAGAATGACAGAGAAAGCATAAGAGGAGAAAGAAAAAAACGGGAGAGGCAGAGAGACTGGGGGTGATAAAAGGGAAAAAACGGAGGGAGATGGTGGAAGGGAGGGAGGGGAGAGTGGAGGAGGAGGGTGGAGGTAGGTGGGAAGTAGGAAGGAGGGGGGAGGTAGGGGGAAGGGTGGGAGGGGGGAGGGGAGAGGGTGGGAGGTAGGGAGGAGGAGAGGGTGGAGGTAGGAGGAGGGAGAGAGAGGGGAGGAGGTGAGGGTGGGAGGTGAGAGAGAGAGAGAGAGAGAGAGAGAGAGAGAGAGAGAGAGAGAGAGAGAGAGAGAGAGAGAGAGAGAGAGAGGAGGAGAGAGAGAAGAAGAGAAAAGAAAGAGAAAGGAGAAAGAGAGAGAAGAAAAGAGAAAGAAAATGAAAGAGAAGGAAAAGGAGGAAAAAAGAAAATGAGAAGAGAGAGAAGAAAAGAAAAGAAAAAAAAAGGGAAAAAAATGTGAAAAGAAAAAGGCGAGAGGGAAGAAGAAAAGAAAAGACACAGAAAGGAGAAACAGCGAACAGAAAAGAAAGAGAGAGAAACAGCACAGCGTTCGCCTCTGCGTCCTCCACTTAAGAGGCTTTACACAACTTTTCCCCAGAAAGACATACCGCTGACGTCATAGCAAAACGCACAATATCACGAAATCAGAGTGTTCTGTGGCCGCGTGAGTGACATTCACAAAGGAAACTTGTTAGTGCAAGCCGACAAAATGCTACCCTCAACACCCAAAGCTCCGTATCAACTCAGAATACAAAAATAGACAGTGAAGGAAAGAAAAATGCGTTAACAATTCTTATCACATCCAATCCTACGTATATTCAAGCTGTTTATTATGCGCTACGCAGGGGACTTTAAACAACGATAATAACAATAATTGAACGGCATACGGCTATCAAGATCAGTAAAATACAACACTAAAACAAACCAAAGATAAGATGTACAAGAACCCTTACGACACATTGACTTACCTGAGCTAAATCTAATTTTCAGTAAAAAAAAAAGAAAGAAAGAAAAAAAAAAAGGTTTTGTCAAGAAAATAGATTCTAAGGCATCGGCACCAAATATGTCCAAGTAAAGGAATTAGAAGCGTTACTCTTCCTTTCATTTATTTCATGAGAAATATAAAAATATAAAACACGAGAGAGCGCGAGCTCGATATATCTATATATATACTTTATATATATATATATATATATATATATATATATATATATATATATATATAAGTATATATATATATATATATATATATATAAGTATATATATATATAAGTATATATATATATATATATATATATACTTATATATATATATATATATATATATATATATATATATATATAGTATATATATATATATATATATATATATATATATATATTATATATATATATATATATAATATATATATATATATATATATATATATATATATATATATATATATTATATAGTAGAGAGAGAGAGAGAGAGAGAGAGAGAGAGAGAGAGAGAGAGAGAGAGAGAGAGAGAGAGAGAGAGAGAGAGAGAGAGAGAGAGAGAGAGAGAGAGGAGAGAGAGAGAGAGAGAGAGAGAGAGAGAGAGAGAGAGAGAGAGAGAGATACAAATCCCTAGCGACTATACAAAGATCCACGACAACCAACATCCCCCAGAAGAGCGAGTACAAACAAAAAACAAACACCAAGCGCTGTGGCCCAAGAATGCCTCGCCAAAACAGAGTTCAACCCCAAGCCCGTTCCTTTCCCTTGCTCCCCCAATCCCTCTCGATCGTTCCAACCCGCCACCGCGATCCCCCTGAGGCGTGCCAGCGACAACCCCGATCCCTCATCTACTGCGCTCCTTCGTCTTGATTGTCGAGCTGTCGCGTCGCTGACTTCAGTGAAGCCGTCGATAAACAAAGGGCCCCGCGGTGCAACCAATGGCATGGGCGGCGATGGACGACGTCTCGGGCCGTCACCACGCCCACGCGAGGAGAAAATCCACGGGCGCACTGTTTTCCTTCATTTGTTTGTTTGCCCGAGTGATTTCGAAAGGTGAGAGATTCTTGACAACGGACCAACTTAAATGTAGAAAAGAAAAGCAAATATTAAATGGCGAATATGAAATCCTAAAAATATCAAATCGTCCGTTTCGCCTCACTCTTTTTCTACAAGTTATCATACAAAAATGATAACACACACACACACACATACACACACACACACACACACACACACACACACACATATATATATATATATATATATATATATGCTTATAACACTCACATCCACTACATATATTCACAAAAGGGAATAAAACCCCACCTTCTAACTTCGTTCCCAATCCGCGAGTACCACGAAAGACGCAGACCATTAAAATCTAAAACCGATACTGGACTTCCATATGTCGATATCAATCAACCTGCTTATTAGGCAACTTAATACCACTAATAGTATCTTACGAGCATACCCAAGACTGTTATGGGAATCTGATGACATAACACGACGATGGTACGTTTCTGAATGCTACTCTACTCTGTACCACTGGCTCTTTAATGGCATAGAGGCCGAGTAAAACTAGCTCTTTCTCTCGCTGCTCTTTAATGCGTCTCACTCTTGCATCCGAGGAGAGCTACTACGCACCAGTATGCATGGTTTATAAAAAGCTTTTCCATGAATAGAAAAAAGTCACAATAAAGGAAAGAGATATAAAAGAACTGGAAGAAATGACGAAAGAATCCCACTCCCTCAAGACACGAGAGAAATGACGAGAAATTAACCATCTCTGTACGACGTTTCATGGCGACTTCTCCGTCTCCCGTTGCACCGACCATGGCCATGCGAGGCCCGGTGAGAATAGCCTGTATCAAGCCAAACTGAAGACAGGGCTTTTATGGAAATGATAATAATACGCTGGGTGGATTAGATAAGAAATCATATGCATACATAAAAATTGTGTCCTTACAACACGCCAGCAATTTGGCGTCACAATAGCAACAACGTGTGTGCTGGGAGGTTATCTGATAAGCATTGCTCCTTTGATTGTGCGTGGTGTGTGGGCGAATAAATCCTAAATATTTATCAATTAATCTATATTTTTTCTATACATCCCGAACTTCTTTCTCGTAATCATACATACATAAACGTATACAAATGTATGTGAAAGCACTTTTACATATCCACTGTCTCAACATAAACATCTATTTATCAATCAACCAATCAATTAATTAATCTGTCGATATGCTAAACTCTTTATTTATCAATCTATCCATAGCATCAATCACTCCAAAACACTATATATGAACACGGTAATAGATAAACGCCAACACATAAACAACAAAAACTACAACGGCACACTATAATTAAAATCAACCCGAGTGTAAGCACCTGTCAAACACACGATGCAAGCCCGTCTGCGCATCCGGAAATTTCTTTCTCCCTGGAAATA